AAAATTGGATATGCATAATAATTTTTTCATTGGCTGCTACCTATATTATAATCTACTAAACTCACCTGATGTATGTTACTATTCTATTAAACCAACGGAGGCCAGAGGAAAACATACAAACTGTAGTTACTATTTTGTCTACTTTCAATTAGACCGATATTATTATATCTCTGTCCAAACAAGACCCAAACAAATCCACCCGGAAGTCAAAATCGGACTCATTATCCACCATATTTCTTATATTCAATCATTCCCGAAACTTGAACAGAAAAGTGGGAGCAAAGGTTTTAGTATAGGAAGTGGAGATAATAACAGCTTTTGCCATCCATTATATCCAAACTTGAGTTTCCAAACATTTGCTGCTCCACAATGAATCCACTTCACGCGGCTTTCATATACCTGAGCATAGTAGTGAATATGGTGTTTTTGTTTTTTCATTTTCTTTATTGAAATGCCAATTGGCAGTTAGAATTTGTAAACCATGTCTTCTGTGTATCCAAGTTCTTTGAGTAATCCAGCAAGCTGCCAATGGGGGGGAAGCCATTAATTTAATAAAGAATAAGAAAACAACTAAAGTTACAAACACCAAATATTAGGCTTATTGGAATTTAAGTATGTGATTTACCTCTCCTTGTGATCGATCCTTAGCCTTATCACCAGATATATGAGTCATCATTCCAGGCGGCCCACAAACCTAAAAGCACCAAAAGTTTGTGGTGAGAAATTAAGCAATCACGGTTTAGCGTACTATGAACGCAGAAGGGCATTAACAATTTTGTCCCCCAAAGCCAAATAAAATTGATAGAGGAAAGAGAAAAGGAAAACACGCTAAGAGATGGATTTTAGAGAAACTATCAAGTCCAAAAATATAGGCACAACAATCAGACTGCAGATTGTCTAAATTATGTCTGCATTAGTGAAACATTATCAGCCTCTTCTTTTGAGGTTGAATCGGATGTCTCGATCCCAATATTGAGACCGAGAGGCGTGGTCCAAGAGAAGGAGATAGATGACTTGACAGATCAAAGATCTCCGTTTTTTGTCCCATATGATTAATTTATGGTTAAGATGAGATGCTAATTGAATGATTTTCCAATGACAGTAAGGTAGCATTAAATTCCAATCTTTACATCTTGCTATGTAATATCCCCATGTTTCTTTTGTCTGATACAAAACATGGGAGACAAAAATGAAAAATATTAGTGAGTCTACAAGCTCGTGCCAAATATTATGTCAACAATCTCAAAAATGCACTGGCATCTTCATCATTGGCATTATTGGTGATACTTCCATTCTATCACTGTCTACTGTGTGTCAGAATAGTGATGTTCATCTTACCAAAATATTCATTTTGAGGCCAAAATATTGATAATTTAAGAGAAAAGTATGAGAAAAGTAATCAGTTTCCACGGTAAAGAGAACTTACAAGAATAAGTGTATCGTCACTGGGGCTGGGCAAGCCTTTGAGTACCATGTCCTTCGATATGTAACCCTTACCTCCCAGCCAATCTTTTGTTGGATTATCAACAGTGTAAAATATCTACAAATTCAAAAAGGACAACAAATTTCACTTAAAATTGTACTCAATAAAAAAAAGAATAAATTTAGCCTTACGGGTAACCATTGTGCTTTTTACAGTACGACCTTCAAGTTTGGATTGCTGGCGGACAGAACATCGAGTTTCTTTTTAAGAAGAATGTCATCAGGCGATACATTAGCATAAAGCAGGGATACCTAAAAGAGCACATGTTAATAATCATTCAAGTTTATGGGATATATTTAACGCTTTCTAATAGTGTGATTACTTTTTAATACAAAAACTGGAGAGACTAGCGGGAGTACCTGTGTATGGTCATCGGGGTTCTTAAGGATGGCATCTATTATCTGAAGCATTGGTGTAATTCCAGTCCCCCCTGCAATCTGCATGCAGATATTCCAGCAAGTTAACTAAACATCATAATTTCTAGAAAATCCATTGATATATGATCACAAATTCCAATAAAAACAAAATATTTAATATGCAACATTTTTTAACACTTCTCAAGAGTCAGAAGACTTAAGAAAGACTAGTCGCATGAATTTGATTCATCATAGAGTGCATGAAATTATACTTAACCAACACGAAGAAAAAAATTGTCGTGTAGACTAAGATGAAAATTTTGATTTAGCCTAGTCAGATCAAAACCCTCCATATTTCCAGAGGTGTTGCAAATGGATCTGCCGGTTCACCAATCATTGATGGTTCGATACACAACATTAAGAAACTATCATGCACCTGCTTCTTGAGAAATCAGGCTCCACCATGCACAAAGTAGCTGAAACTACTAGTCACTACAGAAATTGACAATGTACATGGAGCTTAGATCGCTTATTTTCACTAGATCAGAAGAAAAAGAGTTCTACTTCTAAAAGTTATCCAGAGACTCAACTATATCTTTTAACTGTTCAACAAAATGAAGAATCATGATGTTTTGGCAGAATGAAACCCAAAAAGAACAGAGAATGGAAGTTATGCGCAAATAAAACATGAGAAACTATTTTTTAGAACTTCATGTTAGCTTTATCTTTCATAAGACAGTAACCTGCAGTTTAAAATGATGGAAAGAACTTTAAATTTTATGCCCATTTCTTTTCGTTCCTCCACCACTTCTGGGTCCATATGGATTGTATTCGGAAAGGAAAAATGTTCTAGTAGTCTGAATTTATCGTGATTGGGCGTGTAGTGATGATTAATAGACCAAGCAGTTCCAAACTACAAAATCCTTATAAAAAATCATCCAACAATTGCATCCTCAGTCATCACTAGCATATATATATATATATATTCTCTGAATATCAGTAGCATAACTTTTGTTTTGATCCTCGGCCCCTTGATCTGCATTTTACTAGTACCAAGATAAAACTATAATAATGGACTCATGGTCTTACCATGCCAATATGTTTCTTCATGTTTGGACTGTATCTGAGTTTTTCGATGGGCCTGTATAATAAGACAGCATAATAAGGCAAATAACCTACATAAATCATGGTTTAAAGTTAATTCTGTATTCCTTACCCTTTCACTTCAACGACATCTCCTGGTTTTAAGCTAGCGAAATGCTGACTCATTTTACCTTCCGGGTATACCTGTAAAAGGTTAAGGAAGAGAAAGAGCTAAGATTAGAGCTCCTAAAGTCTGATGACTAGGTAATCATGGAATATGAATGTATTAGAAAATAAAGAAATATAATTCGAATGAGTACCTTGATTAGCAAGTCAAAATGTCCCTTAGCATCTGGATCTGATATAGGTGTATAACTGCAGAAGCATGAGCTTCAGAAGAATTTCCAGAACTACAGGTTGTTTTTAGAGTTTCTAATTACTAGAAGTTCATGATGCATTTAATGACACGCTGATATATTACAAATTTGAAGTCAACCACAACACAAGGAGACAGTAAAACAAAAGATGCATAATAAAGTAAAAGTCTCGGAGACATGTTTTGAGATTTTTGTAAAAGGCTAAAGTGTATATATAATGATATTTGATAATCTTAGGCGTATACACGAGATAACTTTCAATAACAAATACTTACGGGCGAATTACATATTTGGTTTTCCCCTCAGCATTTTGCCCATTTGGAGCCCTACAGGAAATCAATGTTAAGAAGCCAATTATGTCATCCGGTAAGGGGTCAATAAACAAACATGCACAATTATTTATTTGAAAAATCCAACAAGCAAAAGATATCAAGTTTCATAGAAAGTACCTTGTAATTATGCAGGATGCAACATCAAGACCTAACTTCTCGTCGGGATCAAACGAAAACCTACCATGACCCAACAGGAAAATGGGTCAACTTCTCCAACAATATCAAGTAGGAAATAGCAATATAATATACATTTCTGATAATAGAGCAGTTCAATAGATGTCCAATGACAGGTAAAGGTTAAAAAAAAAAAAGCAATTTCATAACTTGAAAAGACAAAAGATAATAAGCTAACCTGAATAATTGAGAATTGTGACTGGCCTGCACTTTGTCTTGGAGTTTGAATTCAATCCATTTATCAGGATTTAGGGCTGAAAGTTAAAGAGAGAGAGAGATCCACTAAAGTTAAAAGCACATTAAAGATGCAGCAAACAATTACAAAGGAATTCAATTAAATTTTCACTGTGAACATAAGAATTAAATAGGATAGAAGCCAAAAAGAATTTTCAGAGAATGTAAATGGATTATATGCAAAAAAATTAAGAAAAAAAAAAACTGCCGAACCGGAAAGATTACTAAGAGAATGAAGACCCCATCAGTTACTAGATACATAAGGGAAGAAAAATTACATACCAACTTTTGGTGTAGAATCTTCACTCAGTTGATCTAAATAAACCTGAGTTGCAATTATAGGCCATATATTAGTGTGTGACCGACAATCAAATATTTACATAAACTACATTAAGAACAAACAGGCTGAATTGCAATACAATGTAAGACGAATTGTATAGACTTGCGATCAAATAAAGGCATTAGGCATAAAATTGATAAATGTCCCTTTAACAAGGTGTTCGTGCTAAATGTCCTAATAAAATAAAATAAAATGTTAAATGAAATAATAATAATAATAATAATTAGAACACTGACCACCACAAGGCCAAATAATTCTTAGATGCTACACTAGTCATGAAACAAGAACTGTCATGATCTATAACAAGTCTGGTATCCTAAGTTGTCAGCGTGGATTCATTTTTCCTTACTGGGAACTGAAGAGAGATTACCCATTACATTCACTCATGACTGGTAAGCATTTAAAAGGGCAGCTGTGCTTGGGGATGAGACGACTGATTAAACACAATATTCGGCATATTTACTTTCCTCCTCAACCTGCACTTATTCGATCATAATTAAAGAATTGTAATTACTAGTTCCATGTATTCTACGGTCCAAACACAGAGAAGAAAAACCTAACTCCACACTCCACAGCCTGATTCTCCATTATATGTGAACTGAGTATTTTCTTCTACAGGACTTATCCAGTTCACATTACCACAAGACTGAATGCCAAAAAACGCATATATGGCCAAATCAAGAATAGAAAAAAGCTATTATGCATTTCTGATCTATGATCTGAGTACTTCGATATTTTCCTTCCTGTGGCCCGAGCGCGAAACTATTTCCAAAGAAAAATTGAATTTCCCTACACTTCGGAGTAAGAAAATTACCAAATTTGGGGGGGAAAGGAAGTAATACGACGAGATTGCACCGGAAACGGCAGCAAGGGCCCCGAAACGGATATATGAGCCGGAATTTGTCGTGCCGCTGGTAGAGATCGACGCGGCGTTCGCCAGTCGCCTGAGAAAGACAGCCATCGGCTGAAGATGAATAAATATGAGAGTTGGAATATTTCGGTGGCTACTGGACTGTGAATTTGTGCAGAGGGTTTATAGCATTTGAGCGGTTTACCGAAAATAGCCCTTAAACGTTGGTTAACAGTCAGAGAAGCATACGCACGCTTCTGTCCGTTTGGACTAGCCCAATATGTTGATTTGTAGGTGAATTTCATTCCACTTATTTTGTCACGTTAAATAAGTATGTCGACTAATACTTTGGCGTGCGCAGGTAAGATCAAATTCTTCATTGATTATTCAAGTGAATGTGCTCATATGTCACCAATATGAAGTTGACAATAATTTTAGCTTTTAAATTTCTTTTTCTTGTTGTAGGATAAAGTTTGAAAATTTAATATAATTTGCCTATTGGCTTATATTCACAAGATTTCAGTTCTTGATTTTGATAATATTATAATAAAAAAAGTAATAAATATTTGCTATGTGCATTTTTTAGAAAGCGAGTGTAACTATTTTGACAAATGTTGCATCACTAGGATTTGAAACATAATGATATGCATTTTATCCAACTCGAATGTTTGTGCTAGGCCATCTCCAACCGAAAAATTCATACTTAAATCCATTTTGCAGTAACTGTCACATTTTGTAGTAATTCATCTTCAACCCAAAAACTCATTCTCAACCTAAAAGAATATTATCAAAATATTCTCTTTTACATCAACTTTTACAACTTTTCAATACTACCCACCTATTTTACAAATTTACAAATTAAAACATGCACACTACTATTTTAAATTCAATTTGGACTTTATGTAATAAATTAATTGTAAAGTTATAATCATATACATAATAAAATCGAAGAAATAAATATTCATTAAAAATTAAAATTTAAAAATAACAACACACAAGATAAGATAAAAAATTACACGCACAAGACGAGAAATTAAAAATTACATCACATAAACGCAATTAAAAATTACAACGCACAAGATGAAAAATTAAAAATGTTTTCAACCGTGATCTATCATGTGTAATGTTATTCAATCTATATATATATAAAGAAGTTGTTGGAAAAATACATTAGTAGAAAGTTTGACCAAATAAATGTAATGTTTGACTTTCTATTAATGAAAAGTTCAACAAAACACATGTGAATTTTTAGTAACAAAATCTAAATCCTATTTTTTTGGTAACAAATTTGGATATTTTTATGGCAAAATTTGAATCTCATTTTTTAGTATCATATTTTATTTTTTTAGCAAAATTTAAATCATATTTTTTTGGTAACAAATTTGGAGATTCTTATGCAAAAAATATGTCAATTATTTATGAAAACAATTCTAAATACAAATTAATTTAAAAACCGTGCAAACTGGATACAAATTTAGGAAGAAAATAGTTGTATAATTATTAACCAATTCTTCCAATTTTATTGAATAATTTTTTCTTTCAAAAAATTGTATAAATTGGATAAAGTCACGTGCAATTTTTATTTTAAAGTAAAACTGGTATTTGGACGGGATGTACATTTAAAATTGTGTCCACATTTTTTGGTAACAAAAGCGGTTCATCATTGATATTTAAAGTCACCTTATCCAATTATTTAGGAAAAATTGTGTGAAACTTTTCAAAATTTAAATGTATCAATTTTTTTGGATTATTATGTTTTATCTTAACCATGTTTTACCGAGATTTTGGTAAGTTCATATCATTTTTTTTTTTGGTAATGTTCATATCATTTTATTGAGGAAAGAGACAGTTGCATAAACATTAACAATTTATTTCAATTTTTTTATTAGAATTATTTTCAATTCAATTTGTTTGGTATAAAAATCGGTGCAATGTTGGGAAAATTCGGTTGCATTTTTAGGAAAAATTAATGATATTTTTTTATTTTGTTTAAAAAAAATTTGGATGAATCTGTTTGATAAAAAAAATTAGTTTATTGGTAAAAAAATCGATTTCATTTGCAGGATAACTAATGATTCTTTTCAATTTTTCTTAATTGAAATTTAGAATTATGTTTAAAATAAATAATGGGCGAAAATCCCTAAAAAAATCTACTTTTTTTTCACTTTAATTTTGTTTAATAAATAAGATCCTTAATTTTTTAAAAAAATTTGTGTTAACTAATAACTAATATGCAATTTTGGATAAATTCGAACACCTATGTAATACTTTATGTGCCAAAGAATCAAATCAATAATGTTGTACATAAGAAAGTGTTTAATAACATATAAATTTGATTTTCATGAAATTTTTAATGGTCTGAGACAATTTAAATACAAAAATACCTTTTAAAAAATAAATGGGTAATAAATACTCCCGTGCATCGCACGGGTACCGTACTAGTTTGTATTAGTAATGTTGGTGTTATTTAATGTTGGTGTTTTCTTTTGTTGTTAAATAATAACATCATAAATAATATGTATATTTTACATTATTATTGTGAAATATATAAAAATAATATTTACTATTTTAAATATTATACTATCTAGTTTTATGAAATTAATTTTTGTTAATATTTTACATTATCATTATAAAAAGTAACTTACAAAAGCAAATAATATGAATACAAACTAAACAATCTAAATAAATTAGTATTCAAATAACAACTTACAGAAAATAAGGACCAAATTGAAATTAAAAAAAAAAAATGCGATTTGTAACAGTAAAACGCATATTTGGTGTGGAAGAGGTGGGAGAGTGAAGAAAACTCATTTTGCGTTTTCTGTATGGGTGTCGGTTGGGACAGACTAACTCCATTTTTTGAGTTTGCATTTGATTTTGAGGGACGGTTGTAGAAGTTCTTATACTTAAAAAGTGATGGGGTTCAAGTTGCAATAAAGTTACCTTT